GGTGGTTTGACGTAAAAAGTTTGTCGATTGGAATGAAAAACTCATTTAATTTTTTTTACTAATAAAAATGTTTTGTTAATAAATTTTATCAAATTACTCGTATTCATCGTAATGATAAACACGCTTAATCAATTTTAAATATATTCCGCTAAGTAAAATTTATTTTCCGATACTTTTTGACTCATTGATTGAGGCGCTTGAGAGCGACCGTAATCTATTATTCAGTAAAAACTAATCGTCTAATCGTCTTCATGCAATTAAGGTAATAAATTGTATTATTAATAAAGACTCACCTAAAAGAATACCGTAATGTTAATGGCAGTAAAATTTTTGCAATTATCCCATGGGTACTATGTAACAACCCGTGCTTTTTTTTCTAGGTTATTTCACCGGTCTATATTAAAATTACATGATTTTCATATAGACCGGTGTCACATGTCAAATTTCCATATCTGATATGTCAGGGGACTTTAATTAAACTTTTATTTATTCAATTATTTAATTAATAAAAAAAGCATTTTATACAATTATTCAATTTAAAAAAAAGCATATTTTGATAATTAAAAATTACATATGTTGAAAATGATAGTGAAAATGATAATGAATTTCTTTGGTTGCATTATCATTTGGTTTGTAAATATCATGAAAAGTCAAAGGTATAAAATGATTTGTTGTATTGCTTAATGGTGGTCTCATTGGTGCTGATGATTCCATAGATAAAGACCTTTAAATACGTGATGTTTTTTCAGCATCAGGGTGTTGAAAATTTTGCACTTGAGGAATTTGTGCTTGAGGATTATTTGATGATATCCTGGAAGGTAGTTTAAAGGGTGCATATATGTTTGACTTTAATTTATTTGATAATCTTTGCGATTTTCTTTGCAATTGACCTTGCTCTTGTCCTTGTGACTGTGCTTGCCTTTGCCATTGTGATTGTGCTTGCTTTTGCTCTTGTAATTGTGATTGTTCTTGCTCTTGCGATTGTGCTTGTCTTTGCGATTGTGCTTGATTTTGCATATGTGATTGTGCTTGCCCCTGTATTTGTGCTTGATTTTGCACTTGCAATTGTACTAGCTCTTGCCCATGTGATTGTTCTTGCCCATGTAATTGTCCTTGCTCTTGATCATACAATAATTCTGATTCTTATTAAAAATTGATAAAATTAGAATAAATTTTTTTTTTTAAAAAAATCAAATTTGTTTAAATATAATATCTTCATTCAGATCATTTTCTTTGAAGCATATATAGTTATTAGCATTTCCAGAAAAGTAGTTAAATTCCTTATAAAGAATATCATTGCAATCTAAAGGAATTAGTATCGATGTATTTCTTATTTTTTAAGTATCATTTGGATCATTATAGATATGAATTCCTTTATAACTACGATGTCCAGAAAATTTTATATACTTATCCTCTGGAATATCTAGGTTCTTGAGCTGTTGAATTGTTGTGCATTGTAGTAAATAGTTACTAATTTTTCAACTATTTTAAAGATTTATGCCTATGATTTTAGCTATTTTCACTATCATAGTGTTTAGCTTGTTTGTATCCATGTGGGTTTTTTTAAATCAAATACCTTTGTTAATTTTTAGTATAAAAGATAGAAAAAAATGTCAATAATTAAATATAAGAAATAAATAAACCCAAAACATTAAATATTTTAAACCTTTTGCCACCAGGTAGTCTCTAAAAAAAATGATTCACAAGAATCTTCAGAATATAAAGATATTATATACAAAATATCTTAAATAGGTTTAAAATAATTATTAGTATAATCAGAAGGAATTGAAATCTTTTATACAAAACTTTTCCTATATTTATTTTATTTTAATGCCCATTTTGATTATTTTTTTTGTGGTTAAAGATAAGATAAAGACCACCATTATCATGACATGATATATCTTTAAAATTGATTCTTTTGGCATCCTCACCATGTAGACTACACAGGAGCAATAACCAAAAAAAAACTTGTCGCATTAACTCTTCATTAGTATCCACTTTCATTTTTTCATGATCAAGTATTTGAATAATCTCTTCCATAGTTAGTGAAGATGCTTTATCTATTTTACTCAAGCCTGTATTTTGGAGTCGCTTCATTTTTCTATCAAGTATTCTCAACATTTTGTCGAAATTGTATGAATCCCACAATTTACAAGTCTTAATTTCACTATTCTCTTTAAGGTAATAAGCAATAGAGGTATAGTAGTTATGAATCTTCTTTGTCTTATATTCATTTCCATTTAAATACTTCAACCAGATAATGAATCTGCAGAAAAAATCTTCTAATTCTGCTATCGTCTCAATTTTGTCAATACCTTTTTCATAGTTTATTGTTTCATGAAACCTGTTTACAGAATGTAACCATTTCAAAGTGCACTTGTCAGTGTTTTCTATATGTGAAAGTTGCTGTAATTTCAAGACTTCTTCTTTGCTAGAAGTGGCATTCTGCTTTTTTTTACCTATTTCTATTTGAAAAAAAAATTAGGTCGATAAAGTTAAAAACAGATCAATCTAAAATTGATTAACAAAATTAGAAGTTTATTTAATTACGTAGTCACACAGGTTGTATGTCATACTTATGGGATAAACTAGTTATTTAATGAATATCTGTGAATACAGTGTATTTTACAGATTAATAGTAAAATCACATAGCTGCAGGCAATGTGATTTTACTATTAACCCATAGAATACATTGTATTCACAGATATCTATTAAATAACAAGAAAGTATTTCACATTTTCTTTCGAGTTGCATTTGTTGTAGGTTGTATTTCAATCTCAGAGACTTGGTGATCATGAGTCTGCTCTTTACAATATACAATATGCCGAAATTTGAAAACTTGTTTGCAAATAGTAAATATTCTTAGAACTAAGTGTCTTTATTCTGTACTCTGGGTATAGATACTTTATCCTATACCAGGGGGGTACAGAACTTATTTTGTGTCATCTAAAGGTAATTGGTTAAAACAAAATATTCAAAATTCTTAATATCAAATGAAGATATCTCAATAAGTACCTATCTAAATCTATAGAAATTTTTTATTTGAATTCTACAAGTTTGTAGAATTCAAATAAAAAAAAATTATCAAATTCAGTTAGATACTTGCCAAGATATCTTTACTCAAAGTTTGAAAAAATTTGTATGTTTATTAAAAAATACAAGTTGATCAAAATTTTTAAAACAGACGCAAATCACTAACTCTTCCTAATGATCACTTGTACCAAATTTTCTCTAAAAATAATCACTCTATTCTCTAAATTCTACTAAGTA